CCTTTGTTGTCCCAGGCTAGCCCTTTGCTGAACTATTTCAGGGGTTTTTGCGATCACCTCAGACTCATGTATGAGGACCCCATTAAGGAGGAAACAGCCACCAGACTGCTCAAGACGCTGCAGCAGGGCCGAGGCTCCTTGCAGGACTATCTCAGTGAATTCCGGCTTCCTAGCCAAGATTCGGCCTGGAATGAAGCAGCCCTCATGGACATCTTTCAAGATGGGCTGTCAGACAACCTACAGGATAAGCTGGTGCGGGTGGATAGGCCACCAATGTTCAACGCGCTGATCCACCTATGTCTCTGGATAGACGCCCAGTTGCAGAGGCGAGGGCCTTGTTGTGTGTCCAAGGAGACCAGTGGGGTGCCGATCCTGCAGGAGACCCTAGCTCCATGGGAGGAGCCCATGGATTTGGGTAGCGCCAAACCCCACTTGTCACGAACTGAGACAGCGCGCAGGGGGGTTGTGCTTCTATTGTGGGGATCCTGGACACCTGGCCATGGTTTGCCCCAAGAAGAGTAGGGGGGCTGCGAGGTCTGGGGCCTCCCCTCAGCTATGGAACAACTTGTCGGGAAATGGGCGGAGCCCAATCTGAGGGAGACCTTAGGTTGGGCACACACTGAGACAGAGATTGACGGCCCTCCCTGGCACTTGATCTTGGAAGAACGCGTTCTCCTGTCTGGTAGTCTGCCGGGGATTCTGGCCTGGTTGATTCCGGGGCTACCACGAACTTTATGGATTCGGCGTTTGCGACCAAGTACACCATCCCTCTGTGTCCGGTGGACCCACTGATGCTGGTCAAGAGCATTGATGGCCAGTTGCTTCTGTCGGGGTCTATCAAGGCTGCCACACAGCCATTTCGCCTGGTCCTCAGAGATTATGAGGAGGCCATCCAGTTTTACATTGCGTCGGGCCTGCATTCCCTGTGGTCCTGGGCTTGGCCTGGCTGTGGGCGCATGACCCTCAGATTTATTGGTCCCAGAACCTGGTGACGTTCCCGTCCCTGCAATGTGTCAATCACACCCATCATGTCTGTGCAGGCCAGGTGCTCAATTCGCCCAGGAAGTCCTTGCCGCCGGACTTAGCGGAGTTCGCAGATGTCTTCAGCGAGCAGGAGGTGGACCAAATTGGCCTTATGATTGCCCCATGGACTTGGTACCGGACGTGAAGCTCCCTGTGGGTTGCCCATGTCCGAGCTGGAGTTGGCCGCATTGCGGGACTTTCTGGACAAGAACCTTGCCTGGGGTTTTATCTGGCACTCGTCTTCACCACTGTCTTCCCTGGGCTTGTTCGTCAAAAAGAAGACTGGGGATCTGAAACTCTGTTGCGATTATCATCGCTTGAATGCCATCATGGTGCGCAATCGTTACCCACTGCCCCTGATTCCGAAGTTGTTGGAGCGGCTCTGGGAGGCGACGGTGTTCATGAAACTGGACTTGCATGGCGCTTATAACCGGGTCCGAGTCTGGGAAGAGGATGAATGGAAGATGGCCTTTGGCACCCGGTACGGACATTTTGAGTACACAGTCATGCCGTTCGGATTGACCAATGCCCCAGCAGTTTTTCAGCACTTTATGAACAATATCTTCCGGGACCTCTTGCATCAGTTTCTCGTAATTTACCTGGACGACATTTTGATTTACTCAACTTCTCGGAAGGATCATTATCAGCACCTACGCCTGGTCCTGCAACGATTCTGGGAGCATCGTTTGTTTGCAAATCTGGAGAAGTGTCTGTTCTGGCAGACTACCATCGAGTTCCTGGGGCACTGTATCTCCCCTGAAGGAATTGCGATGGAGCCAGACAAGGTAGAGGCGTTGCGCAGTTAGCAACCTCCTCGGCGAGTGAAGGATGTCCAGTGTCTCCTCGGGTTTGCCAAATACTATTGGACCTTCATCCCCAGCTTCGCTTTCCTGACCGCACCCCTCACTTGGCTCCTGAAGAAGAAAGTGTCGTTTTGCTGGGGGCCCATGGAACAACACGCGTTTGAGGCCCTGAAGCACACCTTCATGAAGGAGCTGATCCTGAAGCATCCTGATCCCCATCGTCCATTTGTGGTGGAGGCGGACGTGTCTGATATTGCTGTGGGTGCGGTGTTACTGCAGACTCATGCCCCTTGTGGTACCCTTTTCCCTTGCGCTTTCTTCTCACGGAAACTCAACCCTTCTGAGCACATTTACACCATCTGGTAGAAGGAGTTATTGGCCATTAAGGTGGCATTTGAGGCCTGAAGGCATCACCTGGAGGGGGCCAGGCATCAAGTCGAGGTCCAGATGGACCATAGGAATCTAGAGTTCCTGAAAACGGCATGCAAGTTGAACCAGCGCCAGATCCGGTGGTCTCTGTTCTTTGCCCAGTTCAACTTCAGAATGACCTACATCGCAAATGCGCAAAACCAAAGGGTGGATGCCATGTCCCGGAAACCGGAGTACTCTGAAACTGCAGATCTGCTTCAACTCCGGACAGTTTTGCCCATCAAATCTTTCGCTGCAGTTCATGAGCCCATGCACTTATGGTCTCAGATATGGGATGTACAGTGGTGTGACGAGTGGGTGGAGCAATGGAGGGCAGAGGTAGGGCCGGCCTCCTCATGGACCTTTGACAATGACCTCTTGAGGTACCAGGATTGGCTCTATGTGCCCGTGGGGCCCCTCTGGGGACTTATTCTCTCCCAGTGTCATGATAATCTGGTGGCGGGACATTTTGGCCTTTTCAAGACTTTGAACCTGGTCTCCCGTACTTTCTGGTGACCCCACTTATGACACGATGTACATCACCTCTTATGTACAGATGTACATCACCTCTTATGTACAGTGTCGGCAGGCCAAGTCAGTGACAGGAGCTCCTCCAGGCCTGCTCCAGCCATTGCTGACTCCAGACAGACCCTAGGGAGCTGTGTCCATGGACTTTCTGATGGAACTGCCTCCGTCTTTGGGGTTTACTACAGACTTCGTGGTGGTGGATATGCTCACAAAGATGATACATTTCATCCCATGTTGGAGATTGCCGACAGCCTGTGCCACCGCCCGCATGTTCATCCAGCATGTCTTCCAGCTGCACAGCCTACTCGATCGGGTCGTGTCGGACCGTGAGATGCAATTCATGGCCCAGTTCTGGAAAGGGCTGATGGAGGCTCTAGACGTCCAGGTTTGTTTGTCCTTGGCACACCATCCCGAAACCAATGGTGGGACAGAGAAGGTGATTGGGATCTTGGAGCAGTACCTGCGCTGCTTTGTGAATCAGCAGCAGAACAACTGGGTGGAGTACCTAGCCATGGCGGAGTTTGCGTTTAACAACTCACAGCATACCTCCACATGGACGACACCCTTCCTGGCTAACGTCGGGTATCACCCTTGCTTTTTCCCTCTTACCCCAGTCGACTCCCCGGTCCCCACAATGCATGACTTCCTCTTGGAGCTCCAGGCGATCCACCAAGTGGTGCGCCGCTGTCTAAAGCAAGCTAAGAAGGACTACAAGAGGGTGGCAGATAAGTCTCAGCGTGCGATGCTGGAGTTGGCTATGGGGGATCGCATGTGGCTGTCCACGCGGCATCTTCCGTTCCACCGGCCAGCTAAGAAGTTGGACCACCGGTATCTTGGGCCATTCCCAGTGGAGACCATCATCAATCCAGTGGCCTATCACCTGACCCTGCGACACTCAATGCGAGTGCACCCGGTTTTCCATCGCTCACTCCTGATCCCTGACTGGTCAGCTTGTCCTCTCTGCCGACCGTCTCTGCCCCAGCTGTCACTGCATGAGGCGGAGAAGCAGCTAACGCACGAAGTGGCACCCCTTGAGGCCGCACCCTGAGTGTCAGTCCCGGGGGAAGGGCCCTGAGGTGAGGGATATTGTTGTGGCCCAGCAGGATCCAGTTGAGCTGCTGATGGACTCGGATAGCGAGGAACCATATGAGTCTGCCAGAGAAGATGTGGAGGACCCTGGGCAGGATTCACTCAGAGCAGGGACCAGAGAGGCTGGTTGGCCACCAGGAGACGCCTGAGGCATGGAGCAGGGGGAGGATTCAAGGCAGTTTGTCCCTGATGCAAGATCAACTGGATGGGCGGAGAAACAGAAGCAGCAGCTCCGGAGACAGACTCAGAGACGATAATGAAGGCCAGGTGGCTGTGGCTTGGCCCCTCCCAAGAGAGTAGATAAGT